GTGTGTGTGTGTGTTGTATTATATTGTATACATTCCAACTGAAGATAAAACATCCAGAACTTTGGATGAATCAATTACATTTGTGAGTGTTTCATTTGAATGTGAAAAGTGGTCAGTGTATTGCCAATACCATGTTTTTGTTTTTGAACTCTGCTATGATATTGTTTTGGCTGCATATGGATAGACTCATTCCCAGACTGCACTGATAGTTGGCTTTCCCCTCACCAACATAACTGTATAGCCAAACACAATGCAGCAGAAAATCTAAACTCCATAAACTTCTTTAAAAAGCTTCACTAAAACCATACTTAATACAGTTTTAACTAATATGTGATGATAGCATACCTATTATAGAGCTAGTTGACTGAAATGTCTCAAGAAGGGGCAGCATATAAACACCAAAAGCATTGTGGAAACCACTGACACATAAGGAATGGGTACAAGCTGCCAAGACAACAACCCAACCCCAACCCCCATCAGGAGGGGGATGTAAAAAAGAAGCATCTTTGTTAATCTCATCCAAGGTATGACATCTCCTCAGTCTGCGCAACACTGGCGTAGACTTGATCTTCTGAAGCACCCGCATGACTGGAGAAGAGACCTGCAGGGGAAGGGAACAAACGACTCTTAGTCTGTATTTTTATCACTAGAGAGAAAAACAGCATCCCTCAGGAAAATATCCTCACCATGATCCATGGCAGGACTTTTAGGTCTCCCTGTCTCCCAGCTGTCTCTTGCTTCCCTTGAGACAAGGAGCCCAGGGTTGGAGGGCCAGGGGGAGAAAAATTGCAAAGAGAGAAAGTAAGAGAAGAGAAGAAAGAGGAGAGGACAGTGATTCCCAGAATCTGGCCTTCCAGGGTTTTTGGACTTCAACTCCCAGAATCCCGGACTATTGGTCAAGATGGCCAAGGTTTCTGGGAACTGAAGTCCAAAACACTGGAAGGCCAGAGTTTGGAAATCACTGGATGAGTATAATCCATTGGAAGACCTATCATAGAATCATAAAGTTAGAAGAGGCCACAGGGGCCATTCAGTTCAACCTCTGCCATGCAAGAAAACACAGTCAAAGCACTTCCAATAGATGGCAATCCAGCCTTTGTTTAAAAACCTCCAAAGGAGGAGACTCCACAACACTCCAAGGCAGCATATTCCACTGTCAAGTATCACAAAGTTCTTACTAATGTTTAAGTGGAATCTCTTTTCCTATAGTTTGAATCCATTGCTCCATGTCCTATTCTCTAGAGCAGCAGAAAGCAAGCTTACTCCATCCTCAATATGACATCCCTTCAAATATTTAAACAAGGCTATCATATGACTCCTTAATATTCTGTTCTGCAAGCTAAAGATACCCAGCTCTCTAAGCTGCTCCTCATAGGGCATGGTTTCCAGACCATGCCCTAATTATTAATTTTTATCATTTTCATCATTTTGGTCGTCCTTCTCTGGACACGCTCTAGATTGTCCACATCCTTTTTGAATTGTAGTGCCCAGAACTGGACACAATATTCCAGGTGAGGTCTGACCAAAGCAGAATAGAGTGATACTATCACTTCCCTTGATCTAGATCAGGGGTAGGCAACCTAAGGCCTGGGGGACGGATATGGCCCAACAAGGCCTTTGGACCGGCCCCAAACCGGTCCTGCCGCCGCCGCCCCCCCCCGCCGCCGCCCCCCCATGATGATATTGATTATTGTTGTTATTACTTGTTCTTGGGGTTTTCTTGGCAAAATCTTCACAGGGGTTTTGCCATGGCTTTTCTGGGGCTGAGAGAGTGTGCATGCATTTTTTTAAATTTTTTAATTCTTTTTTTTATTTTAATTTTTATTTATTTATTTATTTTTGGTGCTTCGGCCCATCAATTGTCTGAGGGACAGCAACCCGGCCCCCGGCTCAAAAAGGTTGCCTACCCCTGATCTAGATGCTATATTCCTATTGCTGCAGCCTAGAATTGCATTGGCCATGACTCCTAGATCCCTTTTGCATGTACTGCCATTAAAACAGGTGTCACCCATCATTTACTGTGAATGTCATTTTTATTGCCCAGATGTACAATCCTACTATTCCTCTTGAAATTCATTTTGTTACTTTTGCCCAGCTTTCTAATCAGTTAAGGTTATTTTGAATTCTGACCCTGTCATCTATGGTATTAACTACCCCTCATAATTTACTAGTTTATCGCATTCTTAAATAACTTGCCTTACCTGATCCAGCTTAAAATTGCATTTGGGTGGCATCTGGACCCTACTGCAAGGGTTTTGCCACTGAAATTGCAGCTGAGAACCATCCCAGGGCCATCCCTGCTCCTGGAGCCACTCCAGCAGTCATTTTCTCAAGCCAGAAAACTCCCAGCTTCGAAAAGAGCAACACTGAGTGATTCTAGGAGTGGGGATGTCTCCAGGCTGCATTTGGGTGGCGATTTTGGCAGCAAAATCCTTGCGATAGGGTCAAGATGCCACCTGAATTTAATTTTAAGCCGGATCAGGTAAGGCAAGTTATTTAAGAATGTGATAAGCTCCTTAGTGTCACCTGCAAATTTGGTACACATGCTCTCTATTCCATCATCCAAGTCACTGATAAAGATGTTGAATAGCACTGGGCCCAGGGCATAATCCTGTGACACCCCGCTAGTCACTTCTCTCCAGAACGAAGAGGGATTTTTAAAAGCATCATGGGATTTTTAAATACATACAGATAAGAATGGACTGTAGGACAGAATCTGTATTCACCCTCTCTAGGTGTTCAAGAACCAGGTAATAATTTAAGGAAGGAGGACAATACTCATATCTACCTCCTCACGTATTTCTGTTGCACTTTTTACACTGAGGTTAAGTCAAAGAAGTAGAGAGATGCCTCTTATGTTTGGAGACTCTTCACACAACTCAGAATGCTAATTTTTCACACATAATTATATTTTTCCATAATTTGAAACCACAATTTAGAGTCAGTTTCTGGTTTGTACTAATTGCAAGGCTGCTTAGGTTGGATTATGTGGCAAATCATGATCATAACAAACCAAGGAAGGAGGATTATCTGGACAACAGCAGAGAGGATGAGAAATAGTTGCATGTTCTTGACCTCCAAATCATGATCTAAAACAATGGTGGGAAGAATGTGGCTCTCCAGGTGTTGCTGGAGTGCAGCTCCCATCAACCTGAGCCAGCACTGCTGTTAGGGAACTATGGGAGTTGTGGTTCAATGACATCAGAGTTACTGCAGTACAACATACATCCTACCTTAGGAGCTAGCTTTAGGTGACATCTAAACTGAACAGCACTTTGTGGGTAAATAAACTGCAACAGGGTTCTTCCCTGTGTATGGAATACATGAGGGGAGCAACATTGTTTCTTTAAATATAATTGAAAATAAAAACCAATTCTGAACAGCTGTGTCTCATTCTCAAAATACTTTGAGGAGCACTATCTAGATAGGAGTATACTTATGCTACAGAATTATAGGACCTTATCCCACGCTGCTCTCAAAAGTGGCAAGAAAGCGATATGAGCATCATTGCAGTACTATAGCGCTAGTATAAATATGGCGCTAGCGCTATAATAGCGCTATGGATAAGCTAGCGCTATTGCAATGCCCGCTGAAACCGACATTTAAAAGAACCCGAATGATGCTGCATTCCGAGCGGTTTCTTGTTGGATTCTGAGCGACGTCGTGTGATCACCCGGAAAACTATAGCGCTATAGCGCCTGATTCTTAGCCGATTCTGAGCGACGTCGTGTGATCACCCGGAAAACTATAGTGCTATAGCGCCTGATTCTTAGCCGATTCTGAGCGACGTCGTGTGATCACCCGGGAATGTATAGCGCTATAGCGCCTGATTCTTAGTGGATTCTTGCTGCTTTTGGCCCCGTGGGATAAGGTCCATAGTCCTAGATTCCACTGTAGCTGTAATGGTTTCCTCCTATTGAATTCTGGGACTTGCAATTTAGAAAGGGGTATTTAGAATTATCAGCTGGAGAGCTCTAGTCCCTCCCTAAAGTATGAATCCCAGGATTCCACAGATTGGAACCCAAGCAGTTAAAGTGGAATCAAAGTGCTATAATTTTGTAGTGTGAAAGGGCTCCTGGTCTCCAGTGAATGATATCACCGGGGGGGGGGGGAGGACAACTCAAATAACCTTTCCTACAGCCCCAGCAATGATCCTGAGCTTAGTGAACACCCACTTTTCATTCCTGGGAAGGAAGAGCCACAGTAATGTGGCTACACAAAACTTGCCCTACTTAATTGTTTTTGATTTTTGCATTATAAAAAGAAGTTTTAAAATTTGTTATTGTAAAATCTTTGAAATGATTTTATCTGTGAGCCCCCTTGGCTCCCTTTCTGGGAGAAAGGCAGCATAGAAATGAAATAATAATAATAATAATAATAATAATAATAATAATAATAATAATAATAATAATAATAATAATATCCATCCACTAGCTGGTCACCTCTCTGCAACATGGGCAGTTCCTGTGTATGCAGTCTAATCTGATGTCTTGCATCTCAAAGGCTCTATACAAGCTAGCAGTAGAGATCACATACACAACCATTTCTTAAGATGACTGAACTTTGCTAGGTAAGAATTGCTCATTTTGGGGGGCTGCAGATGGTCGGCACAGTGCCAGCCCGGGAAGCAGCGGATTGGGGTCGCGGCTACCCCATGCCGCGACCCCGATCCTCCCTTTTGCCGGCCCAAAAAGAGCAACAAAATGTCGCTCCTTTCAGGGGCTGCAAAAGGGCACCCTAAGAGCCAGTGCGTGGCTCTTTGTCAGCATGGGGTTGGGATGGCCAGTATGTTGCTGCCCTACCCCATCTCTGCCTCCAGGCTGGCCCTTTGGGTTGGTCTGTAGAGGCCCTTTGTTTCTCTGCTTTCTCCTCTAAAAAGCAACCCTCCCAAAGTCATCTGAAGTCCTTCCCTTGCCTTGTCATTTGCCCAGTGGATAAAGAGAGTTGCCTTGCTCCTTCCGTGCGGCTGTGGCCATTCATCTACAACCCTTCCTCTCTGAGCCAATGTGTCATGGTGGTTGGAGCATTGGACTATGACTCTGGAGACCAGGGTTCAAATCCCCACATGGCCATGAAAACCCATGTGTGACCTTGGGCAACTCGCACTCTCTCAGCCTTAGAGGAGGACAATGGCAAACCCCCTCTGAAGAAATGTGCCAAGAAAACTCTATGCTTCCCCTGAGAGTCACCATAAGTCAGAAATGACTTGAAGGCACACAACACACACATCCAAATAGCATACCCAGCCCTCCTGTACCACTGTAGCAGACCCTCCCACCCCACCAGCCCATACTCTATTTGTGATCTTCTCCTGCACAAGGCCGTTCTGAAAGGGACAGAGGTGCTCACAACCAGAGAAAGCCACAAGCCTCTTGCCTTCCCAGGGAAGGCTTCATCTGATGCCCTGACAGCTTAGATCCACAAGGAGAATTGCCAAGCTGTATTTCAACACCACCAGCATTCCATAGTGGAAGGCCAGGACAGTGAGAACATGGCAGCCAGGTCCCTCTATGGAAGGTTCTCAGTCCCTGCCTTCCACTTCCACTTGGAACACTGGAATGCCTCCTTTGATGAAGCAGACATGTTCCTGGGCAGGAATCCTCCAACAGAACATTTGGTGCCAGAGCTAGAAAGAACATGGAAAGAATAAAGTTCAGAGCTGCCTATTAGTCTGGAATTGTTTTTGTTAACTGCCCTTGAATCAACCTCAACTAATGGCAGCCCTGTGGATGAGACATCTCCAAGATCCCTTGTCCTCAACCTCTCTGCTCAAAAATTTCAGGCCCCTGGCTTCTCTGATTCTACCCAGCTGACAGGTGGCCTCCTCTCTTTCTGCAACCTTCTCTACCTTTCCTACCATCATTATCTTCTCTCATGATTCATTTTTCCTCATGACAGCCTCAGTTTAGTTATTTTGGCTTCCAGAGAGACTCAGGCTTGATCTGTTTCAGGACTCATTTGTTTGACTTCTTGGCAGTCCACAGTATCCTCAGCACTCTTCTCCAGCACATCTCAAATGAATTGATTTTCTTTCTGTTAGCTTTCTGTTGGATACGTCCAGCTCACACATCCAGACATGGTGATGGGGAATACAATGGCTTGGACAATTCTAACTTTAGTGTTCAGAATTATATCTTTACATTTTAGAATCTTGTCTAGTTTTTTCATGGCTGCCTTTCCCATTCCTAATCTTCTTCTAATTTCTTGACAGAAGTCTCCATGGTGATCAATGTTTAATCCAAGATATGGGAACTCTTTGACTATTTCAACTTTTTTATCAGCATGAAAAGGGATATTGTAGCATCTTTGTGACTAACTGCAAAAGAAGATGTAGCATGTGCTTTCATAGACTTGGATCTGCATCTGCATGCATTTGAGGAAGTGCAAATTGAGTCCACTTTTAGGGTTAGGGTTAGGGTTAGAGAATCATGGGAACTGTATTTTATTGTGGCACCAGATCTCTCTGACAGAGAAGGTTCAATGTCTCAGAAAAAAAAACAATTCCCATGATTCCCTAGCACTAACCCTAACCCTTAAAGTGGACTCAATTTGCACTATTTCTGGCAGTCTGCAACCCACAAGATTCCTTTGCATATGGAAAGAAACAGATATGTTCTCTACCACTGGAGAGCCAGTTTGGTGTAGTGATTTGAGTATTGGACTAGGGGTGCATCTACAACTGTAGAAATAATGCAATTTCACACCACTTTAGCTGCCATGGTTCCATCCTACAGAATCCTAGGATTGGTACTTTTGTGAGGTACCAGCACTCCTTGGCAGAGAAGGCTAAAGACCTTTGAAACTATAAATCCCAGGATTCTATAAGATGGAGCTACAGTGCTTAAAGTGATGTCAAACTGCATGGTGTATCTACATTGTAGAAATAATATTCTGGAGGCCAGGATTCAAATCTCCACTCAGCCATGGAAATCCACTGGGCAAGTCACACTCTCTCAGAGGAAGATCCTAACAAACCCTCTGAACCAGTTTTGCCAAGAAAATCCCATGATAGGTTTGCTTTAGGCTCACCAGAAATCAGAAATGCAACAACAAACCACAAAAAAGGAAGAGCAGTTTAGTATGTTTCACCAAACTTTTCATTCAAAACTAACAGTATACACATGTGAAATGAAACAACCAGGCCAGGTAAGCCTTGCATAAGTAAACAAAAACATTTTCAACCTTCCAGAGACCACTTGAAGGCTTGTTCCAAAATGTATCCAAGGGTGATTTCCCCCCCCCCCCCCATTTCACCAGCCTCCACTTTTCTTATGATAGCCATATTGGCTATCTATGCATTATCTATGCTTTTTAATTCCAGACCTCATTCATTTCATACAGATGCAGCTTTAAAAAACAAAAACAAAACTTTGGCTAGAAAGAGAATGAAGATGGAAAGGAGCTTCTTTGTCAGACTTTGCTAAATGAGATATGCCTGCCTACATTTTAAGACTAGTGTGAAGTGGCAGCTCTGCAAGGCAATGTGAAAGAGGATGGAAGGGTATATGGGCATGAGTCTTCTGTACAGCATTGGTTTGTGGGTAGTAGAAATAGTTGAACAGTGGTACCTTAACTAGCATGTCCTCCAATATTTCATAGGTGAAAACTGAGACATGTGGCCAAGAAATATCAGCGTGGTTAAGATGACAAAAGTTATCATAGAGGGGCAACATACAAGCAAGGAGAGTCTGAAGCAGTTTGCTTTGGCTTGAGTCCTCTGGGAAGGGAGGTAGTTCCACCACCTCCTCTCCTCTTCTTTCTCCCCTGTTGACTTTTGCACTGTGAACGGAAGGTCCGGAAACCATGCCCTATGAGGAGAGACTTAGGGAGCTGGGTATGTTTAGCCTGTGAAGAGAAGGTTAAGAGATGACATGACAGCTCTGTTTAAATATTGAAGGGCTGCCATACGCAATATGGAGAAAGCTTGCTTTCTGCTGCTCCAGAGATTAGGGCATGGAGCAATGAATGCAAGCTATAAAAAAAGAGATTCCACCTCAACATTAAGAAGAACTTTCTTTCAGTAAGAGCCATTCAACAGTGGAATACGCTCCCTTGGAGTTTTTGGAGTCTCCTTCTTTGGAAGTTTTTAAATAGAGGCTGGATGGCTATCTGTTAGGGGTGCTTTGATTGTATATTCCTGCATGGCAGAATGGGGTTGGATGGGATGGCCTTTGTGGTCTCTTCCAACTCTGAAATTCTCTGATTCTAAGTACCAAATCAAATTAATCAGGACAAAGCAAGTGAAGCACTAATTTCCAATTTATTATTTATAATCTTGCAAGAAGGGGAATCCTAGGACGT